CTGTCTCTGGTGAAGCCTCTCACCGCCCCTGAGCCTCTGGCCTGTACCCCAGTTCTGTATGCACAAATAAATAAATCTTTAAAAAAAAAAAAGTTTATGTCTGATAGTGCTAGTACATATTTTCTTAAAGATCTTTTTCAATATTTCCCTGTCTTTTCAATTTTTGATGTTTAGGTCTTGCTTCTTAAATGACTGAAAATATTTTATTAAATACTAGCATTGAATATAGAATATTTTAAAGATAAAGATAATTTGTAGTTTTTTGATGATGTTATCTATGAGCACAGAGTATTTATTTTCTATTGGTGAGCTATTATCCTAAAAAGATCACTTTATTCCAATCTGGCATTAAATTGACTTTAGAAATTGTTTCAGTCTCTACAACTATTCTCTTCATTCTGACACCTAGTTTGTAGCCTGGAGAGATCTCAAGTTAAAATCTGGTAATTAACTAGAATATAATACCTTTATAAACTTAACTACTGAATGTTTGAATCCTTAGCCCATAAAAATACTAGTTTCCTAATTTCCACACTCTTTCTGAAATTTGGCTGCTTTTAAAGTAGGAAAAACTTCATGTGAAAAACCTTGCTCTGTTTGTTTTTAATATCACAAAGCGTCAATTTTTAGCTGCCTAATAACTTTCCAATGGCACAAAAATTATTTTTAAGTGTATCCATCTTTTCAAGCTGTTAAAGGTGATTAGATATAAGCTATTCTTTACCAATTTGGAATATAAATTAATCACTCCTCTTAATTTTATCATCTTATAGTATTTACCTCAGTCCAGTAAAAAAGAAACAAAGAAAGAAAGAAAATGGGCAGAAAATTTGGCTATTTCCAAACGAGAAACAGAAATAGCCAACTAGTATATGGAAAAATGTTCATCACTTATAATGTGGGAAATTCAACTCAAAATCACAATGGGATTCTACCTTACACCAGTGAGAATGGCACATATTAAAAAAACAGGCAACAACAAATGCTGGTGAGGGTGTGGAGAAAGAGAACTCTCCTATACTGCTGGTGGGAATGCAAACTGTTCCAATCACTATGGAAATCTGTGTGGATGACCCTCAACTTACTAAAAATGGACATATCATATGACCCAGCAATTCACTCCTAGGTATCTATCCAAAGCACACAAATCCATTAACTTAAAGGATACCTGCACCCTATGCTTATTGCAGCACTATTTACAATAGGTAAGATATGGAAATAACCCAAATGCCCAAAATAGGAGACTAGATCACAAACATGTGGTATTCAGCAATCAAAAAAGAAAAACCCATGACATCTGCTGTAACATGGATGGAGCTGGAAGGGATTATGCTCAGGGAAATAGGACAGAAGGAAAAATAAAAATATTGGATGGTTTCACTTATAGAAGGAATATATGGGAACCAAATAAAGGACAAAAAAAAAATGATGATGATGATGATGATAAAAACTACCAGACAACTATAAATTAGAGATTTCTGCAGATGAAGGGAGGGAGAAGGATCAAAACAAGGGGTGGGAAGAGCTCATGGGAATATGGTGATGGTTCATGGATGAATTGGTGGTAGGAAATTTAGGGGGACTACACCTGAGAAGAGAAAGCATGCATTGTACAAAAGTGAACAATATGTAAAATATACATATACGTACACGTGTGTGTGTATTACTTCCTTAACAACAAAGAATGTCAAGATTCAAATTAATACTTAGGAAAATATATCATCAAAACAACACTAAACAGGCCCTCCCTGGTGGTGCAGCAGGTTAAAGCACAGCACTAAGAAGCTAAAGCTACTGCAGCATGAGTTCCATTCCTGCCTGCCCCGAGGTGATCCACATGGCACGGCAGACCTCTCCTGACCCACCCGCTGCTCCCCTCCGCAGTGTACCTCATCGATCTGCCTGCTCTGCTCCCCACTCTGTCTCTGGTGAATCCTCTCACCGTCCTGTACTTCTGACCTGTACCTCAGTGTTGTATGTATAAATAAATAAGTCTTTAAAAAAAAAAACTAAATATATTCATGATATCTTACTCGATGGGTTTTCTTTCCAATTTAAACTTTTTATATCTTTCACATTTTTAAATAATGCAGTGATAAACATCATTGAATATCTACTTTTCTGTCATGATTGTCTGATTGTTCCCCAAGTAAATTTCTAAAGCATAAATTCTTGGTCAAAGTTGTAGACCTTTTTATAGTTCTACTACATCTTTGTCCAGTTGTCTCCAGAAATATTGGCTACTACATTTTAATAATTAGGTTTAAGTGTGTATCTAACTCTTTTTAAGAAGAAATAAGAAAATATTTCTTATCTTGAAAAATATTTTCTCTCTTCTTCCAACCATAAAATTTTATATGATTTTTTATGTTATTCTATCCAACACAACTTCTCCCCATACTACAAGGGATCCATTTGACCTTGATTCAAACTATATTAAATCTCATCCATAGAGATCTTTTATTCTAGTAAAAATCAAAATCATCAGGCAACTATAGATCAGATACACTCTGTAGTGAAGGAGGAGAGAGAAGGGTTAGGACAGGAGTGGGAAGAGCACAAGGTGCTACAGTGATGGTCCACAGGTGAACTGGTGGTGGGAATTTCTCGAGGAAATCATACATTGTACAAAAGTGAAGGATGATACAATAAATATATTTAAACAAAATAAATAATGAAATTCAATAGATATGGCTTTCAACTATACAGAGAAAAGATCTTTTATTCTGAGCAATATGTTCGAGCTTATATCAAAGAGGGGTTTCCAATGAAATTCATGCTTTAATAATTGCTGAGATTAAGGTTTGGGGAGCAAAAGCTAACATACAGAAAAGTAACTTAAAATTCTGCACATGGCTTAACATTTTCAATGTATATGGGTGGCAGGACAATGTTCATAAGTCTTTGTTGCCACCCATTGGAAAAGAACCATTTGAGTGTGTTTAATAAGATTCACTACATGACTTGTTTTGGTTCGTGTGAAGTTGAAAAAAATCAGGTTCTGCACTTTAAAATGACAGGCCCAAACACTGTGTGACTACCTCTTAAAAAAGCTACAAAAATATGGGGTGGCCTAGGGCACCTCAACCAGGGAGGCTGATTTCAAATTACCAGAGACGTCTATTATGAAGTGTTGAAAGGAGAAAGAAAAACAAATAATAAAGTCACAAAATAAAGTTTATTTTATCAAAATTAAAACTGTTTCCTTCTCTCCACTTCATAGTAACCTTGAGATGGAACAGTCTGAGGATTACATGGCTATAATCCCTCAGCAGTTAGTTCCACAGCAGGAGGTGCCCACTACAGACAAAATTACAGGGTTAGGAATGTTCACAATTTGACGACCCAATTGACTGACTATTCCTCAGGGTTTTTGAATCACATATTTATACATCTAAATGGGAGCAAAGAAAAGAAAATGGTTCATAAACAGAGTCCCAGAGCATGTATTATTGAAATAACAGATGGAAATATTATATTTTTGAAACATTCTTTCTATAAAGAAGTCTTTTGAAGTGTGTTTTGGTAGAATAAACTGAGCCAAAAGTGGAGGAATAAGAGAGAGGAAAAAATGGTTTTATTTTCAAATGCTTGGTGTCAGCAGTGTACAAAGTTAGCATTTCCCCCAAGAAAGATTTTTCTCAAAACACAGTGGAGCACAATGTGTTTACAAATTCTCTCTGCTATGTTACAGTCCCAGCAGAGGAGGAATTCAGAAAGCACTTGATTGCCATGGTGCAGTTTGTCTTTACAGTCTCCAAATCTTGACCTCTGAAGTCTTTACGGACTCCCCCTCCATGAATTTTTCATGTCTCCTACACTGATTGAAACCTAAGTCAAAACTCAAGACACTGTATCCAAAAAAGCTATTGGCCAGCTCAAACTTGCTGATTGGTAACAAGCAGATTAAGATTGTAGATTTTATGCTACATGAGTAATATTTCGGGGTCATCTAATCAGGGTTTAAAGTATAAAAATGGAAGCACACCATGCAAGGCTAAAAGAAAGAAAACAGGCTGAAAGCCAAGTGAAAAATTCATCACACTTGCTTATTTTCCTCTACATGGGAGCCTGTACCCATGACAGAATCAATAGTTCAGAATTATTCTGTTGTCTTTCCAGGAAAAATACCCCATTACCTAGAAATCAACTTGAAGTGTTCCATAGTCATTCCAATTTCTCTGTCATTTAGCTCTCAGGACAGAGTTCAGTCATCCTGCTAGTCTCAGCTATTTACTGGATCTGCTATATGATGATGTGATTTATTACATGGCAGCTGGCAGTTACTCTGGCCAAGGAAAGAGAGAATTCACAAGAACACAATTATTTTAACCTTGTATCCAGACATGATCTATATTTGTTACAGGGATCTAAATGCAATTCCTAGTTGAGTCTATTCTCATAAGGAACAAAAGAAAGATTGGCCTGGGAGAAGGGGTGATGGTTATGACTCAATCAATAAACGAAGCTCATTTCCGTTGAAGTTCAGGTTATTGATATGTGCTGACTGCATGATCTACATATAGTTAAGAGTCTGAAGACATGTTGCTTGTATAGAGGCCTTGAGCACCAAACAATAGCCAGCTGGCAGAAGTCAGTGATCTGTGACTTCTGAAAAATCAGAGTAAGCAATCAGAGGTCAGCCTTTCCCAAAAGAAAAAAGCAAAAAAGAGAACAAGAGACAGCAACTCACTCCCACTCACCAACGGGATTACTACTGAGCAAGGTAAGAAAATGCTTTAGTAATGGCTCCTTGGGTGACAGCATCTGTTCATAGAGTTGACTCAGAGAGCCCCAGAAGATTGGGGTTCCAGCCAGCTGCAGAAAGAACTCTTGGCAGAGCTGCTTCCTGTACCTCTTTTGATCATAGGTCTCAGGCTTGGAAAGGTTTTCACCAGTCTTGTGGTTTCCTGGTCGTGCGTCAGTACATTCTGGCTGAAACACTTCACTTCCTTCAGGCCAGCCCCTCCACCAATGGCTCCCGGATCCCTGGTTCACTCTCTCAGCTTTGAACTAGACTCCAAAGACACTGCTGGCTACAGCAAGAACCTTAAATGAGAGACTTGCAGCTGGGATGCTGGCCTTCCCCCTCTTGACACAGGGGTTTTAAGGGGAGGATTGGCTTAGTGGAGTCGCACTAAAAGTCCACCAAAGCATTGAAGCACAGAACATTGTGTGTGGTTGCCACAGATTCTTTGTGTGACCACAGACTCACCTAGGCAACTGGTCAAAGTATAGAGATTTCCAATCTAGTCTAATCCTTCTAAATCAGATTCTCTGAATTGAATTCTATGACTGTGTATTCATAAGAATCTTTTTCATATGATTTGACAATTTAGGATACTGGGGCTGTGAGTGTAGACATATATACATCTTTTCACATTAGTATTTTCATACTTGAGTAACAATGACTGGCAAATTAATAAAAAAGTTAAAATATTAAGGAAAAAATACAATAAAGATCTGTTAAAACAGGACCCTAACTGGTGGTACAATGGGTTAAAGCAAAGCTCTGTGAAGCTATCCACAACCAGTGCAACACAAGTTCGATCCCCAGCCAGGGGGATGACCTACATGGTGTGGCAGACCACTCCTGTCCCACCCGCTGCTCCCCTCAGCAGTGTGTTTCAGTAGATCTGCTGTATCTGAAGCACCCCTTTCTGTCTCTAGTGAATCCTCTCACCCCCTGAACCTCTGGCCTGTACCCCAGTTTCTTGTGTGCATAAAGAAATAAATCTTTTTAAAAATCTGTTAAAATCAATACCAAAGAATTTTCTTCAAAATTCTGATTATTCTGTTGTCTTTTATAATAGACTTGACATCATAAATTAGGAAACTCTGATAAGTAACATTCCTTTCCCTCTATTTTCCTCCTCCCTTCCTCCCTCACTCCCTCCATATCTCATGTATTGCTCTTTCCACTGCACCACATTGTACCCACGGTCCTTTTTTGGTGATTCTTTAATTGAGCTTGGGTGTCATGCTTCTAATCATGAGGGCTCCTGTTACTTTAAACCCTTACCTCACTCCAAAAAAGATCTATGTTTTCACAGGGCCCTTTCAAAAATCCCATTACTCTCCACTCAGGTAACATTAGAAAAAATTGTAAGTTCGAAACAGCTATCAGTAAAAGTCATGCTTTTGTTCACCTATTTTTGATAAGCAAGTGTACACAACGAGACCTGAAACACAGGCAGTTTGGATAGCTCACATATACTAAAAAAGAATTCCTTAGATATGTTAGTGTATTAATTATACATAGTCATTCAAAAATTGCAGGTTTATTTATAAAACAAGGTTTCTTCTTCATGGTTTAGGGAAGTGGTGCAAGATATGAAGAGCTAAACATAAGTCCAAAGAGCTTCCCAATGACAATAGAAGATTTTCTCTTGAAATTGAATATATTAGAAACACTAAATTTTATAGTGGATCAGAACCATCATTAAATAAAAGAACCATTAGGAATAGTTATGTGTTTTTATCATTCACATGCTTACAGACCAGAAATTTGTTGGTGCCAGGTGTTCCACACTATTTCAGAGAAGTCAAAATTTCATGTGATTAATTTAACAATAAATGCATAGAAGGAAATTTTTAAAGAGTGCAAGGATAAAACTGTGGTTGGCAATACAACTTTTGAGTTTGTGTGTGTGTGTATGTATACATATACATACACAGAGTATGTATAACATGTGTATATATAAATCAAATGTGTGCGCACACACTCAACATACATATGTGTGTACCCACATGTATATATACATAAACACATGTATACAAACACACACACACACATGTATATCTAAATCCCAGATCTACCAGTTACTAGCTGTGTGGCCTTAAGGAAGTTATTTACTTATTTGAATCTTAATTTCCTTACCTATAAAATGAAGCCTGCCAGAGCTCTTAATAACATTAAAGCTTGCTAAGAGGAAAGAATTCATGAGTGGATGCTGAAGTTATTCAAGAAAGTAAAAGACAAAGGGAGAAAATGAGTGTGAACCAAGATTTTCCAAGGAGGAATACTTCTAAATTAATAAAACTAAAAACATAAAACCAAAAATATGTATATGATCATTAACCTAAAATCTCAAGCTGAGTTTATAAGATCCCAGAGTCCTGTGCCCAGGGACAAATTCTACTTAACTGTAGAAGTATGTAAAGATGGTTGAGCATGGCTAGAATATTCATATCTCTGTTCAGTATTTAATTGTCAGACACATGAATGGGTTGGTAGAATCTGACAAGGGTCCAAAACCTTAATATTACTAGCAAGAAAGAGGTTTATAAATACATAATGAATATATAAATAGCTCAGAACCTTCTGGGTGACAATCTAGCCCATGACCAGTTGTGCCAACTTTGTTTCCATGATAATCAAGGATTAAAGAGAGTTCCCCTGCTATGTAGCGAAAGTGCTTTAATCTCTACATTGGTACCAATGAGTTTGAATAACAACTGCCTAGGGAGATGTTCTGATATGAGTAACAAATTGTCCAGTAAATAGAAGGTACTACTATTATTTAGATGACATGTCAAGAAAAAACAAAGGTTTGTCTTGAATGAGTCCAAAATATTGCTGTAATGTAATGGAGACATAGTAAATAGGTGGTGAACGTAGACAGCAACTCAATAAGTCCTTCTTGTATTAGAGCTGAAGTCCAAAACCACTGAAAGGAAAGAAGGGAGAGAGGATAGGAGGGAGGAAAATAAAACCAATGAAAAACATAGGTTCACATACTTAAAGCAAATTTTAAGTAAGTAGAAACCTGCAGGTATTTTCTCTTAAAATATACTGAGCATGACTATCAGACTAGTGATCATAAATGTCACAGTAAAGCAGGAGAAAACTCCACATATAGCAGAAAAAAATTTTCTGCTATATGCCCAGTGCCTTGGTCACTTGGGAATGATACAGTAAGCGGGTTATGGATTCAAGCTTGGGTTATGGTCAAAGAGATTAGAATTTTGCCCTCACTAGTTCTGTGACTTCAGAACTAACTTGGGGTAAAGTTATTTATCCCAATTGAGCCTCAGTTATTTTTTTATTATTATTTATTTTCTGCAAGGGAAATAAGCATACCTCCTCCCAAGAGTTTTGTAAAGTTTGATTCGATATCTGATATTCTCAAAGGCTCGAAATGGCAACTATGGTTTTCATCACCATTATCATTGTTATTTTTGAGACATTAAACTCTCTCAAATTATCACTGAGAACAGGAAGTAAAGAATAATAATCTAAGGCAGTGGGGGATTTGAGGGCAGGTACACTATGCTGGCAATAGTGAGAGGATGATCCTATGCTTCCAAATACCAATAATAATGCAAGCCAAATTTACTTCAAGAAAAAAAAATTGTCTTACGGAATTTGGTGTGGAAAATGGAGTTGGGAATATATTTGTTTCTGTGTTAGAGCAATCTGAAGGCTCTATTCCCTGTAGCAGTTTGGGCAGCTATAGCTAACTTTTATGTATAGCCTTATGTTTACAAAATAAATGCAACTTTCTCTAACCTTTGCAGTAGACCTTCTGGTTATTCCCAACAGATTCTACCTTTTGTGGCTGGAAAAACAAAAACAAAGAAAAATTAAATACTTGACCTGGGCTCATAATGAGCTATAATTATCATCATTCCCCAAACCCTGCTTCTGGGTTCAGCCAAACAACTAGATTTTCCATGATGTTTAACAGTGAGTCAATTCTAGAGCTATGTGGGACAGTTTTTAAAACAGTCCAAATTTAAACAACAGAAATACTTTGTATTTCTTATTTTGTACAGAAGTGTGACCTAAACAGAGGCCTAGGGAATATAAGAGAGTTTACTAAAAGAAATAAGGACCCTTTATGTCTTGTTGTAAAAGAAAAATAGATTGGATCCATGAGATATAAGACAATTACTTTGCTAAAAAAAAAAAATGAAAGAGTGAGGTCAGTTTAAAGAAAAATTATTATCATAGTTTGTGTGGTTGCTAAGATGGCTGGATGGAGACTGATTTTTTTTTTTTTAAGATTTATTTATTTGTGCATACAGAACTGGGGTACAGGCCAGAGGCTTAGGAGCGGTGAGAGGCTTCACCAGAGACAGAGTGGGGAGCAGAACAGGCAGATCGATGAAGTACACTGCTGAGGGGAGCAGAAGACGGGTCAGGAGAAGTCTGCCACGCCATGTGGTCACCTCCGGGGAAGGTGGGAATCGAACTCATGCGAAAGTGGCTTAAGCTTCTTAGTGCAGTGCTTTAACCTGCCGCGCCACCAGGGAGGGCCCTGGAGACTGATTTTTTTAAATAAGAACTGTTGAGTCAAATTCTGAGATGCCAGAGAACAGCACAGAAGTAGAAATGAAGAGACCAGACTCTGTCCAACAGTAATTGAAACTACTTTATGGAAATAACATAGTTACTCAAATGGAGACAGTTAATTTAGCCTACAAAAAGTTATAAAGATACAGCAAAGTTTTTCTAAAGTAAAAACAACATATACACACTACTTATTAGGAAACATGAGTGATTTCATGTCAACCTCACCTCAAAAAAAAAAAAAAAAAAGGAAGAAGATATCTGGAAAGTGTGTAGCCCTAAAATCACTCACAAATAGATATTTGTTAATCATTATTGATAGTGTATTTTATGAAGGATTCAAAGATATGCCAACATGAATTCTACACTTGGAAAATTTAGTTCATGAAACATCGAAGGATATATTTGCAAAAAGACATTTTAAAAAAAAAAAGTTATTTTTATAAATTTTACAAATTACTATAGTCTTTTATACAAAACTACTGTAGAAATTCAAGCATGTTGAATTTTTAAACAAGCCAAGCTGAAATAGTCAAGGAAGGCAAAATAATAGGAAACTGGACTTGAGATTAGACAGATTTATATTGGTAAGTGGAAGTTGGGGGGAGGGGTTGGGTGCACTATATACTAAATTGACTTTTAACTTACGGACATTAGAGGGTATCAAAAATACCTAATCAATCACTAGGAAGACACATCTAGTAATAGTCATTTGGAAGGAGAATATAAGCAAAGAAACTCATGTGAAGATATTTATGATAGTTAAATTACGACTTTTGAGATGAGAAAATTATACTGGATTATCTTCCTCTTTAAGT